GTACATCACCTTAAAGAAAACACTACTTGGCTCAGTGCTTCTGCACAGCTTCTCTCTCATCAGATCTGATTGCCATGATACAACAACAAAACGATCAAAAAGATCTCATGATAAGTTTACTATGGAGACAACCAAACAATCCTCTGTAAAGATCTGGCTCTCTAGCATCTCTGAATTGGTCAACCTCTCTCAAGCAAGAAAGTGACCAAAAGGGAGAACTGAGGGACTAAATACACCAGTGGACAATGGATACACCTTATATGACAATAGAACTCTGTCCCACACCTTTGCAGCAACCAGCCTGGAAGCCAAACCACAGCCTCTGCAGCAATCAGCTCAGAACAGCCAAATGACTGCTACTTTCCCCCTATTCTTTGCCCTCACTTCCAACTTAGAACCAACCATAGAAAACCAAATATGCTGCCCAAACCAATTACATAAGATATCCTGCTCCGACTTAGCCCTCCTCCAGTTTTCCCATGCCGACAACTTCCAGTCAGGGCATACCTGAAGCTTTCACTTTTTTTCTTCTCCTCGTAAAGCTTTCTTAATCCCTTCATGCCTTTGGGTCTCTGCCAGGTGCAGGTGATAGTGGCTGATCCTTTGCTATGACAAGCTCTGAATAAACAGCCTGTTTCTTCTCATTTGGGTAGTCTTCATTTATTTCCACAAGTGCAAAGCCCTTCATCTTACAGAGGAGAAGACTGAGACCCAGAGAGGATCGTGGATACGAGCTCATTCCCAAATGGCTTTGAAGTATTGGGGTCTTCGGGCACAGATTCCTGGTCATTTGTCAATATCCATCCTCCTCTTCTTCCTTAGTAATAGAATCCCCCAATTTTCGTTGGCCCCATTGCTGCCCAGGACAAAGACTTCCATTTCCAGCCTCCCTTGCCATCAGCCATAGTCCTATGTCTAAGTTCTTGCCAGTGGTCTGCAAGCAGAAGTGGAATATTGCAATTATTTGATGAGGAATGTTTAAAGTACAGTCTTTATGACTTATTTGAATAATAATTGAAGAAGCATTTTTACATTGATTTGAATGTGTGTTAGGAGGTAACCTCTAAATCCTTGGAACTTCCTGAGTGATAGGATATCTTTGTTATTCATAGTGACCCGCCCCCCAGGGACCATTTCTGAGTTTATGCTAATGAAGCGACTCGTGGTTGGCCGCTGGTTTACTCAAATGAGATGACTCAAGATGGGGACTGGCCATGCCTGACAGATCAACCAAGTGATTAGAGGATTGGGGCTTTGAGCCACATGGTATCAGCCCAACCTGGGGGTGGAGGGCACTGGAGATGGAATTCAACTGTGTGGTCAGTTGATCACGCCAACATAATGAAACCCCAATAAAATTCTGGGCAACGAAGCTCAGGTGAGTTTCCTGGCCTGGAAGCACTCTGTGTATTGTTGTTACACATCAATATGCCAGAAGGGTAATGTGCTCCTGGGGAAGCCTCACATTTGTGCTGTTCCCAAACCTTACCCTATGTGTCTCTTCCTTAGGCTGGTTTTGATTTGTATCCTTTTGCTATAATAAAATTATCATAATAAATACAGCACTTTTTTGAGTTCTGGGAGTAGTTATATAGAATTACCAAGTCTGAAAGAGTAGTGGGAACTCCCAAATTTGTAGCCAGAAGGGTGACCTAGGGACCCCCAATTCATGGCTGGTGTCTGAAATGAGAGCAGTCTTGTGGGTGACTGTTTCCTTAACCTGTGAAGTTTGGCCCACCTCTGGGTAGCTGGAATGAGAAGTCACGGTAGTGCAGTCACGGTAGTGCTACAACATAAAATAGCAGTGAATTTTCATATACGCATACAACAACCCCAAAAGATGGAACAATGCTAATCTATATTTGAAATTGAAAAATAATTACAGGAGCAATGTAGTATTTTTCTAAGAAAATATTTGATTGGAAGTGTTCTAGAAGGAAAGATTTTCATCTAGTAGAAACTGTGCAGTCAGAGCACTGAGAAAACTTGGTCAATACAAGTTGTTTTTCAAATTAATATGTGGTTAGTGAGGACCTACTGGATGCTCATTTATGAGAGGAAGTATGAGAAATGACCTGAAGCAGCTGATAATCTGGTTCAGGAGACAAGAAAGTGGCAAGGTGATAAACAACCCGTGACTCAAATAGATCAAGACAGTGATAAGAACTATCCCTATCTATATGTTCATTTTTAAATACTTATGGTTACAACAAATGCTTTTACAATTGCAAATGAATAAGGCCTGACTTCTCATCAGTGTTCAAGAGAATTACTCCCCAAGGAGTGGACCTTTGAACAGGGTTCTGACTGATTATTAGGCTTTAGACAGTGGAGGGGGCATTCTAGGCTGGTGGAAAGCTTGAGCAGAACGGCCCAGGCTGGGAAGTGCAGAGGCATGTCTTAAGTATGGCAGGCAAGCTAGTTTTTCTGAAATAGAGGTTCTTGTCAGGAGCAGCAGGAGATTAGGGCAGACTGAAGAGGGCAATAAATGCTAAACTGAGAGGTGAGCATTTATCCTGTAGGCAGTACAAAGGCTTTCAGGGGTGCGAATGGGTGCACACTGATGAGAATGGGTAACGTGGCCGAGATACAAAAGAGGAAGGGACGGATGTTAGGCAAAGACCAGCTACAAAGTTGTTGCAGGTATCCAGGTATATAAAGTGACCTGGGCAGGGGTTAGAGAAGGGCACTGGAGGGAAAAAATGTGTGATAGAGCAAACTAAGCTGTTACTAATGTAAAATATTTGCTATTTCTGCTTGTGAACTTTGAATCTCTGGGAAGAATTTCCCATGATTTTCAGGCTCCTAGGCTGGCATCATGATCTTAGCTGTCCAGATGCCTCCTGTGCCTTCTACCTGCCTACTCCCCTCTGCCAACCTCTTGTACCCCTAGTTCCTGCTTGTCTGCATGGCCCCACTTTGAGCTGGTTCCCTGAATTCTGGGCTCAGCTACCTCATCTGGACTTTAAATGTTTGAATGACTGTCCTTAGTGCAAGCTAATTCCTTTAGTCAAGACTCCTCTGACCTATGACAGCTCTTGGTCTTGGCTTCTCCACATAGGTTGCAGAGACAACATGATATGAACTTGAGACCCAGTAAGCTTAGGAATAACCATTACAGAAAACAGAAAGTGATAGCAAAGACACACAGATGGCTTGAAGTAACAGACGAGATAGGAAAATTGGTTTAGCAATAGTTGGTATGTCTGTATATTTGATTTTTGAAAAACAGTTGAGGTATAATTTACATACCATAAAATTTACATTTTATTTGCACATTTCAGTGAGTTGTAGTAATTTACCAAGTTGTTCAGCCATCACCATAATCCAGTTTTAGGACAGCCCCACCACCCCAGTGAGATTCCTTGAAATATTTGCAGTCACTCCCAGTTGCCACTCCCAGCCCCAGGCAACCACTGATCTACTTTGTCTCTGAATATTTGCCTTTTCTGGCCATTTCATATAAAGGGAACCATACAATATGTGGTCCCTGGCATCTGGCTACTCTCACTTAGGATAATGTTTTTGAGGTTTTGATTTTAAAAATACCCATGTTTTAATTGATGTTTAAAATTTTTTTATTTCAAAAATCCCAAATCTAGTAGCATAAAGATCTATTAAAATTGCTTTTTGCTCACAAAAACTTTAATAAGAGTACTCTACTGCCTCATAAAAGTAACATTACAGAGAAACAAGTGCATGGAGCTTTTGTGTAGAGAAGGCCTTCACTCTCTCAATCCCCAAACTATAGCTGTGAACCAGGAGGAAAGAAGTCCAGCAGTTAGGTGTATAGACCAGGGCATGGCACTCTCCGAACCTCAGATTCCTTAGCTGTAAAATATGGCTGGGCTAGGTCACTGGTGCCTCCACCTTCCTCAGCCTTCACTCTCTTCACCCACACAGCACCCCCTCTCCCATCAGTAACAGGATGGGGAGACAACACAAGTGGTTATAAAAACAACCCCCAGCAGGTAGGAAATCACCAGACTAGGTGGTCTCTTAGCTTCCTTTCAGCTCTAGCTTTATGAATCAACTTTCCTCACATTAAGCTCCCAGGGTTTCCCTTTTGGGTGAAGCCTTAATGTATGCTGAGGGTTTTGGATTTGGAAAGGCTTTAGTTAGAGGACACACATTATTACTAGTGGAGTTCATATAAAGGGAACTATACAATATGTGTAGTTCTGGCTTCTGGCTAGTGGGCTTTCCCAGTTTCACTAAATTCAGAGAGTCACTCTAGTACAAATTCTCTGATGTGCAAAAAGGGCAGAACATCCACCAAAGCCTCTCCCACATGCATTACATCCCCAGGGTTTCTAACCAGTGGGGTGAGCTTGCTGATGTTTTTAACGGGAAGAGGTTTGGCTGAAGGCTCTCCAACATTCACCATGTCCACAGGGTTTTTCTCAAGAACGAATTCTCTGATGCTTAATAAGGGATGTGCTGTGATTGAAGGCCTTCCCACATTTACTGCTTTCTCAGCGATTCTCTTTAGTATGTATTCCTGATGCTTAGTAAGGCAAGAAGAGAAGTATTACTGACAGCTTTTACCATACTTGAGGAGTTTCTCTCCAGTATGGTTATCTGGTTTTTTGTTTTTTTTTTTTTTGGAATAATATGTGACTGAAGGCTGTGCTATACTCATTACACAGATAAGGCTTCTCCCCAGTATAGATTGTCTGATGTTGAATAATGTGTGTCCACAAACTAAAGCCTTGCCAAATCCATTACGTTCACAGTTTCTTAGTAGTTTGAATTCTCTGGTGTTTGATAAGGGAGTTGTTGTGACAAAAGCCCACTCCCTCTCTTGATATTAACAGAGCTTCAGTATAGTATGTCCTGTCTGATGTTTAACAAGACAGGTCCTCTGACCAGAAGCCTTCCCACACACATTACACTCATATTATATATATATATATATATATATATAAATATATATATATATTCTCTGAGGTTTAGTGGTGTGTGTACTCCAGCTGAAAGCCTTCCCACATTGTCTGAATTCATAGGGTTTTTTTCCCAGCATGACTTTTCTGATGTTTAATAAGGGATGCAGTGTGAGCAAAGGCTCTTCCACATTCATTACATTTGTAGGGTTTCTCTCCGGTGTGAAATCTATAATGTTGAGTGAGAGAGGAACTCTGGCTGAAGGCTCTCCCACATCTATTACATTTGTAAGGTTTCTCTCCTGTATGGAATCTGTAATGTACAATGAGAGAGGAACTCTGGCTGAAGGTTCTCCCACATTCTTTGCATTCATAGGGCTTTTCTCCAGTGTGAGTTCTCTGATGTTTAATAAGGGATGAAGTATGACCAAAGGCCCTTCCACATTCATTACATTTGTAGGGTTTCTCTCCAGTATGAAGTCTATAATGTAGAACAAGAGATGAACTCTGGCTAAAGGCTCTCCCACATTCGCTGCATTCATAGGGCTTTTCTCCGGTATGAGTTCTCTGATGTTTAATAAGGGATGAAATATGACCAAAGGCCCTTCCACATTCACTGCACTCATAGGGCTTTTCTCCAGTGTGACATCTCTGATGGCGCCTAAGTTCTGACTGGAAATGGAACAACTTCCCACATTCATTGCATTTACAAGATTTCTTCCCTGGATGGGTTCTCTGAGAGTAATTTCTCCCTGAAGTCTCTCTGAAATCTGTATCACATTTATAGTATCCTTCTCCCATGAGAACACTGTGTTGGTTAACAGGGACTGATCTTAAACCCAAACTTGTCCCAAATTCACTCCACTCATGATCTCTCCTAAGGGTGGTAGTATATTTGTGAGTGAGTGACATTTCTTTCAGATGTCTCTCCTGCTCTTTTGGATGCATCTCTAACTGGTCATCACAACCACAAGTTGCTTTCAGTTTGGAGGACCAGAGTTCATCTCTAATGTGTTTTTCCACGGATGCTATCTGGAATAATTCTTCTCTGGAAATTCCCTGACTTAGCATTGATTCCTTGGCTTGATGCCTTCTCTCCCAGTCTGGAGAAAAAAAAAAAAAGACAGTCTGTTATTACCTGTTCTATGTGCCAAGAGGAAGTAAAGTCCTATAATAGATGTAAGATAATTAACCTTTAAAATAATATCTAGGGACTTCCCTGGTGACACAGTGGTTAAGAATCCGCCTGCCAATGCAGCAGACACAGGTTAGATCCCTGGTCCGGGAAGATCCCACATGCCATGGAGCAACTAAGCCCGTGTGCCACAACTACTGAGCCTGTGTTCTAGAGCCCATGAGACACAACTCCTGAGCCCACATGCTACACCTACTGAAGCCCACATGCCTAGAGCCCATGCTCCGCAACAAGAGAGGCCACTGCAATGAGAAGCCTGTACACCGCAACAAAGAGTAGCCCCCGCTCGCCACAACTAGAGAAAGCCCGCACACAGCAACAAAGACCCAATGCAGCCGAAAATAAAATTTAAAAAAAATTTTTAATAAATAAAATAATATCTAAAAGAGGTGTACAGTTTCTTCCAAGAATGGTGTATGTCTGAACAAAGTTTTGGAGGTGTCAAGAATAAGATAAGCAGGTGACTGGAGATTAGGAAAACCTGAGAGAACAGTGTTTGGACTCCAGGACACAAGATAAGTCCAAAGATTGTAAAGATGAGAGGAGGGTTAGGAAGATGCCCTCCACAAAATCTTCCCTCAGTCCACACCACACATTATTATGTATTATATAATATACATATACCATGTATTATATTACTGTATGTAATTGTGGTGGGCAGAATAATTATCCCCCAAAGATTTCCATGCTCTAATCCCAGGAACATATAAATATGTTACTTTACATGGCAAAAGGGACTTTGCAGATGTGATTAAGGGCACAGACCTTGAGATGGGGAGATTATCCTGAATCATTCAGGTGGGCCCAATCTAATCACAAGAGTTCTCAAAATCAGAGAACATTTCCTGGCTGAGTCAGAGAGATGTGGTGTGAGAAGGACTCGATCCACCATTTCTGGCTTTGAAGGTGGAGGAAGGGCCCCGGGGGCCAAGGAATGTAGCAGTCTCTAGAAGCTAGGGACGCCCCTCAGCTTACAGCCAGTAAGACAACGAGGAGCTCAGTTTTACAACTACAAGGAATTGGTACTGCCAACAACCCAAAGGAACAGGAAACAGATTCTTCCCTAGACACTCCAGAAAGGAACTCGGCCCTGCTGATACCTTGGTTGTAACACTGTGAGACCCATGCTTGATTCTGACCTATGAACTGTGAGATAATAAACATGTTGCTTAAAGCCGCTAAGTTTGTGACAGTTTGTTTCAGCAACAACAGAAAGCTAATACAATAATAGTGACCCTCTGAAGAGTAAAATGACTGGCAATGCCTAACCAGGGCTCCCAGAGGCCAGATTCTGAGCCAGTAGGTCTTGTGTGGCTCCTGGGGATATGAGTGTTTATCAAGCTCCCCGAGAGATTCTGAAACACAGCCATGTTTGCAGAACATTGTAAACAGACAGATATTGATGATGAGACTAGATCCAGACGTCAGACCCCTGCCCTCATTCTGGAAGGAAACAAGATCAACAGAGTACTAAATACAGAGATCAGCATCTTCCCTCTCTCTCCTCTTCTAGGTTCCCATGACGAGGCCCAGCCTGTGCTGTCAGGATTTGAGCCCTGCTTTCAGGAGCGTTAGCTCTGGCCTGAGGCTGATTCTGCCTCAGAGATGGACACTGACACAGACTGTCATCTCCAGTATGCTTGGGCTACACATGGGAGTCAGGAGAGCTCCGTGTCCAGAATTCTACCCCAAGGGGTGGAGCCTACGGGGTACTCGCAAATCACCTAGGAATAAACAGTTTCAAAGAGGTTCCATCAACAGCTAGTAAGGAGTAGTCTTTGTTCCTGGAATCACCTCTGTTGCAGCTTAGCTTAACCAAGCTTGAAGTGTCCTCACCTTGATGTTCCTGACTTTATCCATCAGGATGTCCTTGCCGGTAACCCTTTAATTTCTGGGCTACTTAACTGTTCAGTCTGGTCCCTTGCTAACTCTCTTAGCCCTACTGATATAGGATTGCTGGGCACTTACATCTGTTGGTCCTTAGATTCCATCTAATACTGACCGTGTGACATCTAGTGATGATGCACAGCCCCAAGGACCCTGAAGGGTGGGCAGAGATAGGTAACAAGGGAAATATAAACACTAGAGAAGAAAATGAACATCTCTTCTTTTCCCACCAGAAAACATTACAAAAGCCTACAAGTATTCAAAATACTGGTGTTGAGGGTTCCTGGCAAGTGACCTCACCTTTTCAAAGATAAGCCCCCTGACCAAGGGCTCAGGGGAACTTCCCACTCTCAGTTGGGCCTTATTATCTGCTTTGGTCCAACTCACTCACCTGCGGGGGCACCTGTTGAGATGTCTCTCTCCAAAATACAGGGCTCTTCCCCTTCCTCCAACCGGCAGATCACATACGGTTTGGACATTGGAAACCCTGGTGGGAAAGGAAAAGGATCATGACTGTGTATGTCAGAGGTCAAGGCTTGTAGACAGCCTCCAAAGAATAAGCATCGTGAAGTATCAGGAGCAGAGTCATGCAACTTATTCTGAGTTCATATGGAGTGGGACTTTTCCTAGGAACAAGGAGTAGAAATACTGTATCTCTGGGCCCCAAAGAGAATGTAAATGCCTAATTCCAGAATCCCAGGGCAAAAATCAGCCAACGGGCCCAGACGCCCCTAGCTTTTAAACACCAAGGAAATAAAGATGGCATGATGGGCAGGCTTTGGGCTTTGGAGGAGCTGAGCTCACCCAGGGAGGCCAGGTTCTTGAAATTCTCTAGCATCACTTCCCGGTACACGTCCTTCTGAGTAGGGTCCAGCTGCCCCCACTCCCACCGGGTGAATTCCACAGCCACATCCTCAAATGTCATCAGGTCCTGAAACACAGAAGACGCTCTTGCACCCTCAGGGAGCACACTCATGGCCCTGGAGAGGACAGTACGCTGGTGTCTGAGTAGAACCTCAGGATGTACGGGAAGGGATTCCGAGACTTCCTAGCGATCGCAATGCCCCTGTTCTGGGTTTTATCATCTCAAAAATATTTTAAGCTGCTCCAGGGATTGTGTCATCCTTACTACTTGGCATCCCACCCAGTGCCCACATATGTCAACATCAAGCCGCTTAGAAATGTAATCGGGGTCTCAGGAGAATCAGGCCTACAGAGACACTCTGCGTATATGGGGGAGAGAAATACAATCCATTTCCTCTGTTTTCCAAAGGTTTCACTCTCAATTTAGTGACATTTAAATAGAATCAATCAGAAGTAACAAACTCATACGCTCTGCATTCTGAAATGCAATGGTATCAGTAGTTTTCTAATTAAGTATTTTTGAAACTTGTGACGTAGGATTTCAATGACAACTGTTGCTAAGACCAAATAAAGTCATTTGGGGCTTAGAATAACTTATCCCCCAAACAGCCTGCCAGCACACAGTTCACTGAAAGTATATCAAGTGGCCTTATAGTGAATCAGTTAAGACTTCTGCGAGTTTGATTAACATAAATCCTCTCCCCCAAAGCCTAATCATTTTTCAGTTCCTGAATGTGCAAAGTTGAGAGTGAGACCCTGGATCTCGGATCCCCACAAGGTACAACCATTCTGTGGGTCCCAACCAGAACTATCCTGTCACTCTCTATAACAGCAACACTCTCATTTGACTTACATTGTACAATAATCCATAAACTATGAACTATAAAGCAGATAAGTGAACGTAGTACTGTTACTTTCCCCCCAAAACGTTTAAAAGTCAAATCCCATTTAGACACTAAGGTTTCCACAGAATAAGCCAAAGTAACAATTTTATATTAAAGTTAAAGGCAGTCCAGAATAATCAAATATGGAAAACTCACTACTTTAGTAACCTCTTGTGATAGATTATTGTATTATTTGTTCAAAATATTCATTGGCCCTCCCTACAAAATTGATCTTCCTACCCCACTGACTCAGGTGTGGCCAAATAATCTGCTTTCACAGATGGAATGTGAAGGAAGTGACATGAGCTTCTTAATGAGCAAAAGCCTTCAGAGTCAGTGGAGGTTCTGCAATTGCTTCTTTTTCCTCTGCTTTGAGAACAGCAAACGATCCCAGAGTGAAGAGGTGGGGCAAAACCACAGCTGTGTGTAATGTGGACAAGAAATAAAGCATTGCTGGTGTAAGTCTCTCAGGGTTTGCTGTTGTTATCACAGCATAACTAGCCTAAACTGACTCATTAAAAAGGCTGGTACTCCAAGTAGGGTTCTGCCATGACAAAAAGCCGAAAATACGTGACACTGTCTTCAGGGCCAGGCAGTGAGGAAACTTATTGGCAAGATGGCAACCCATGTAATTTGGTGGTGAACTGTGGGGTAAAGCTGTTGCTGCAGTAACTTGAAGGACGAACAATGCAAGCATGAGCTTGTGATGTTATGAAAAGAGGAGGGAAACGTAGCATCAGTAGTATGAGTTGGTTGTCATTGGCACTGTCATTTGACAGTATTACAGGAAAACAAAAAAAAAATGAGCTCAAGAGTTTGCTGATTTGCAAAATAAAAAGGGAAGGCCAAAGAAAGTGTCCAGAAATTCCAGGACTTGCAGGGTTGGAGATTTAACCAATTCTCATTTCCAGCTGGTCAAAGACAAAATAAATATGGCTTTTGCATGACAAAGGCTGATTAAAACTCAGCCTAACGGCAAGGACCAAATCATGGGTGTGATTGTCAAACCTTTTGTTTAAACCTCTTATTAATTTCAGATGGCTCCCAGTAAATCCTTTCAGTGGGACCAATCTGTTCAGAGTGACTAAAAGTATGGTTTTCCCAAGGAAACCCCAAAAGCTCCACAATTAACTCTAAAGAGAGGGGCATATTTCAACAAGAACTGTGGGAAAAAGCTATTGACACAGGGAGCTAATGGAAGGAAGTACACAAAAAGCTGGTCAAGTTTTTGAGAGTTACACTGAATGTTCATGATTTTGAAACAATCCTTGGGCCATCAACCTACTCAGGCAGAATGAAAAAGCTGCTTAGCCCTCAAAAGAGTTTATTCTCCAACATCATCTTCATATGTGACCAAGGGGGGTACTGCAAAAGGAAGGAACTTCTGGAGGGCAGAGCCAAGAGCCAGGGAGAACACTGGACTGGGGAGCTGTACCCAGGGAGCAGAGCCACTGCATATAACCAAAAGACTTCCCCACTCCCAAGGCCAAGGTCCTCACCAAGTCTGCCCAGTGGAATTTTTTTTTTTTAAGAGATCTTTATTGGAGTATAACTGCTTCACAATTCTGTGTTAGCTTCTGTTGCACAACAGAGTGAATCAGCCATATGCATACTCTGCCCAGTGGAATTTCCTAACTGTTACAGACCAGGGACTGCTGGGCTCCTCCCATGGTTCCCCTTTCTGAACAGGGGTGTTTATTGTGGTTACCCCGCCCCATTGTCCCACTGTATGTGGGATATATGGATTCTTTTTTCATAGATCTCCATATCCAGAGGAGAAATATCCAGACCTGATGTCCAAAATATCACACCATCCAGGACTTCAATCCTGATGCTCTGACTGGATGGGGCTTTTGGGTTATCTCCCCTGGGGAAAATTTTGTGTGCAGGAGGGAGGGAAGTGAACATCTGTGGGCAAGAGAACAGACAGTGTACTTGTTTGTTCAGAATGTTTACTGCCCCTCCCTCTGGGCCCCTTACTATGGGAGGCTTATACTTCCCACCTCCCGGACATTAGGCATGGCCACGTGACCTGCTCTGGCCAATGGGTTGTGAGCAGAAGCAGCACATGCCAGTTCTCAGCAGAAGCCTGGAGAGCCGTCTCCTGAGCCTCACACTGCACCTTCCCCCAGCCACAAGAACAGCACACCCCAGAGGAGGGCTGATCCTTCAGCCTGAATCCCAGAGTGAAGAGGGTATGGAGCAGAGTCACAGCCAGCCCCCTGATGACAGGTAACGTATAGAAGAAACACACTTCGTTACCGTGAGCCAGTGAGAGCTGGGGGCTGTTGCTACCACAGCATAACCAGACGAAGCTCTCTGATATACCTCTGAATGGTGTACATCAAGGCCAAAGAGGTTTAAGCTCTTTATTACTCTACTAATTACTTGAGAGAATTCCTTATTGGTGAGGGTTTCCCCTACTGACTAGAAAACTAATTATGAATGTCTATTATCAAGCCAGAATCCCACTAAACCACCATCTTGGATGCTAGGAAACGATGCAGGCTGGCGTTCACGGCCCTCCACTTGGTTCTCCCTCCACATCCAGCCTCCTACAGCCAAACCGGAATCCACCTCTACAGTCAGTCACCATTAACCCCTGCATCCCCATCGCAACTGAAGCTGACAAGGACTAGGCAACTCCATGTGCCAGAAGACTCCAAGAGCTACATGAGGTGGATGTGTTACTGAGTGGTTGAGTCTGGAGCCAGACAACCCAGATCTGAAACTGGCTCCCCCCGCCCATTAGCTAGATAACCAGGACCACGTTACTTTCTCTCTCTGTGACTTGGTTTCCTCAGGTTACCTCTCTGTGCCCCAGTTGCCATTCTTCAAAATGGGACTGTTTTAAAGATGAAATTAATTAGTATAAATAAATTGTGTAGAATAGTTCCTGATACCTATTTGGTTTTCAGCAAATAATAGCTTTTATTATTTTCATCATTATCATCAACATGATTATCATCCTCATTTTACAGTTGGCAAAACCAGGGCATTGAGAGTTTAGGTGATTCATCCAAGGTCACGCAGCCAGAAGCAGGGAAGTTAAGTGTGTTGCCACACTAATCCGGGAAGATAACATGTGCACGGGGGTCCAGCCTCAAATGACCTCCTCACCTGTCCGAACCCTCAGAACCTCCTTGTCCCCACTTCTCCATGCACCTTCCCCAACCTCTCCAGCACAGGCTGGTTCTCCTTTTCCCAAACTCTGATGGAAAGGCCTGTCTATGCCATTCCATCTGCCATCAAACCACGCACATCCTTACTGTGATTGGGGCTGCATCCTGGGTGCGAGAGTCCTTTCCCCTCTGTGGCTGTGACATCTCCTTCAGGGCCAGCGTGCTCTCACATTACTTGGTACTCACCACAGTGCCCATTACAGAAATAAACCAAAGGATCTGAGTGAGTGCACACTGAGCAGAGAGGAGAGGGCCCTGGGCAAGGGGCAAGGAGGCCAGCAAAAGCCTTGATGGGCTCGGCCTCCTGCAGAGCAGGAATTGGGGTCAGTTCCCTTTGGCAAACAAGGAAGCTCCAGAGAAAAGGAGGCAAAACTAGCCATAGTTCAGGCAATTGAGGAAAAATCAAGAGAACCCCAACTCACCTGGGGCCTGGCTTTCAGGAATAAGCTGGCTGTTCCCTTTTCTCCTGGGCATCTCTCTGGAGGAAGAGCAGGGTCCTGAGAAGGGAGAACTAGGAAGGTAAAAGGAGCCATAAGGAAGGCTAACCCTCATGAGATTTACAGCTCCTAGACTCCCCAAGTCACTGTGTCACTTCCATGGTTCTGGGCACAAGGCTGGGCCAAAGGGAGCTGACGGACGGGCTAGAGGCTGCGCTTGTACACAGCTGCGTGAGGGCCCCACCTGTCCATAGGCCACAGCAAGCTGTAGGTAGCTGAAGTGTGACCACAGTCTGGCCACTCTATCGGAGAGTTATTTACTGCGCCTCCAATAATGCAGGTCATTTACTAGGCCTTTTGAAAATATAAACGTGAATAAGAACTTCAAGGAATTTTAATGTAACCTGAGGATATAAGACAGGTTAACAATACAAAATAAGGCCTAGGACGAGGCCACATAGGGATATAGGACTTTGGGGAAGAAGTTACAACTCTCCCCTTATCCCTGGGAAGCAACGCAGAGGCCAGCTCTTCCTGAGAAGCTGTCCTCTATGTTCTTAAGCACTGTTAGGTCTCTAGAGTGTATTTTGAGAGCCCCTCTATTATAGG